ATCACCATCTAATTGGTCCAACCTTGTACATACGCATTCGCTGGCTTTACATTTTGCTGCACTAGGTTTCTCGCAGACTTCTGCTCTCTGTGCACTTCTCGTTGGCTTCTTCTTTGGGGGCCCAGACGAGGCGTAGTTAGACAACGAATATTGCAAAACTTGGCTACCGTTACAACATTTGGCGACACAGATTCCGAACTCACTTTGTACATCTCCGCGATACAACTGCAGTCTATTTTGAAACAGCAACAAGCTCAGTCTGAGGAGACTCGCATGAAGATGATGGAGTCCATGATGCGAAAATTCAGCTTGAATTTTGTGGTCCAGATTCTTCCGTAAAACAGTCCATATCAGCGGACGCCACTGATGCTTCTATCACCGAGTTCAGTTATGACCCCAACTCCGGCGTTACTTTTGACGCTTGGTTCAGACGTTGGGAAGACTTATTCCGCGTGGAATTCGCCAAGGCTGACAATGCGTGGAAGGTGCGCCGGCTCCTACGCAAACTGGGCGGCAAAAAGCACGAGCAGTACACGGCCATCATTCTACCAAAAAAACCCTCGTGACCTCACCTTTGTCGAAACCATCCAGCGCCCGTCAGAGACTTTCGGTGAAGAGTCCTCCTTGTTCAGTATTCGGTACCCGTGTCTCAAGCTAGTGAAAAATGAGGCAGATGATTTTCTGACGCTCACCAGTACTGCAAACCGCAAGTGTGAAAGGTTCGAGCTCCCCCCGATGACCGACTCCAACGAGACAAAGAGTAAGTTATACAAGGATCTGCACGCACTCGTGCCAGAGGTGGACAAGTAGATGGGCCTTGGTTACTTGAATGCTCGTGTCGGTACTGAATACCTTCTCTGGAGAGGAGTGCTGGGTCCCTACGGTCTCCGCGGACTCAATGACAATGACCTGCCACTCCTTCGAACCTACGTATTGCACCGCCTCATGCTGACTAATACCTAATCCCTCCTCCCGCTGCAGCACAAGGCAGCTTGGATGGATCTGCAGTCCCGGCAGTGACAATTCTCGGACTATGTCGTGTGCCAACGAATGGACCGATACTTGGCTCGTCATCTCCCAGCTGAGGATCCGTCTTCAACTACGCAGAAGATCTCAAGGTAAGCGACCCCATATACGTTGAATAATGCTTTGTTAAATCTACCTGCTAACGATTTGCATTTCAGCAATGGGCTGACTCAACGGCTAGACAATCGTCCTGTCGCAGAAGTGAACGCCTCCGTGGAGAACCGATGGTGCCAAAGACGTTACATCGGTTAATCCACCACCCAACGTGTCCTTGACCGCGCAAGTCGCTAAAAACAGTACTGGTTAGATGACAATGATGCAGTCATCAGCAATCTGCTGGCCGAAAAGAACCGCCTGCACAAAGCCTACTTTTACCGCCATACCAACGCCACGAAGGCAGCCTCGCTACCTTGTACAACAGCCCATGCGGGAAGTGCAGGATGCTTGGATTGCTCGCATGTACCAGGAAATCCAGGGTTACATGGACCGCAATGAATAGAAGCACTTCTTCGCTGCGGTCCTACAGTCAAGGGCAAACCTCCTTTTCTTGGCGCTGATGAAACTACCTTAATCACTGAGAAAACACACATTCTTAAACTCTTGGCTGAACACTTCCAGTGCGTAGTCAACCGTCCTTCCACTATCTCCTGAGTCGCCTTCGGTCATCTACTCCACGTGGAAATCAATGCTTACCTCGACCTGCCACCAACCGCTCAGGAAACTATCAAGGCTGTGCATCAACTCTCCAGGGGGAAAGCGCCCGGATCCGATGCGACTCCTGCGGGTATTTACAAATATGGCGGCCACCAACTTATATACTACCTACCCACGCTTTTCAGGGAGATGTGACGGTGAGGAAAGTCCACAAGAACTTCAAGGACGCCCAAGTTTTCCACTTCTACAAGCGAAAGGAGAGCCGCCAACTCTTTGACAATCATCACGGATTCTCAATGCTCAATATCGTCGGCAAAATCTTCACTCGTGTTCTCTTTAACCGCCTCAAAAACTTCCTGGCTCAAGGACTCCTGCCAGAGAGCCAGTTAGGTTTTCATTGTCCTAGCGGCACCACCGACATGATATTTGTCGCGTGACGGTTGCAGGAGTAGTGCCAGGTGATTCGCGACCACCTCTCTACTACTTTCGTGGACGTAGCGAAAGCTTTCAAAATGTTGAATCGTGCTGGACTCTAGAAATTTTTGCAGAAGTTCGGCTATCCTGAGCACTTCACCCACATGGTACGGCAGTTCCACGACGCTGTAAGGCGTGCGTCACGGACAACGAAGCGGTTTCCAAATCCTTTGCAGTGGCCAATGGAGTGAAGCAGAGCTGTGTTCTCACACTTACCTTCTTCAGTCTCATGTTCTCTGCCATGCTGATCGATGACTATCATGAGAAGCGTCCCGGGATCCACATCAACCACAGAATGGGCGGTCGAATTCTCAACATCCGACATACGCAGGCTCCCACGTGCGTCTCCACGATAACAGTTCTATATGTATATTTTTAAGGGTTACAGGCAAAAAATGCCCTTGAGGACCTTATTAATGTAAAGCAAACAATGTTATTCTTACAGTTAAAGTGCAGCTAGTGGAGGACATATGATACCATGACAGAATTTCGAGTGAATTTTCACGGAATAGAATGAAAACTATCTAGAGCTAGAAAAATTGTTTACAATGCTGGCAGTAGGAAATATTATTGTAAAAGTCGCCTTTTGTCAAATAGAATGACATCGAGTCTTCTTTTAAACTCCGTTATCGTGTCAGCGGAAACCGTCGCGCTTGGTAGCAAGTTCCAAGGTCGGACCACGCGTTGACTAAAGAAATATATTCGGAGGTCTAATCGCT